CGTCTCACCATGTGAGTGGGTGATAATCTTGTGTTCGTCTGTTTTTCTGGAAAAACACGCTTGTTCAATGTGGCATGTTTTCTTTAAAAAACGATTAATCGTTTTTTGGTGCTTATAGTCTGAACAACGGTTATGGTGATGACCACAAAGGTAACAGGATGGTAGCTGTTTTGAAGGCACTGGTGGTTCCCGCTTAGGTAAAAATTCGGCCGTATTGATTGAAAAGATCGCTAGATCAGGTTTCAAAGAGGATATATATATATATGTTTATTATGCCAGTTTACGGGCAATTTTAAAGAGTTGATGAGCACCTCTTGGGCGCCTTCCAAAACCTCGAAGACAGGAAAAAAATAAACTCCAATGCTTGACTGTTGCAGCTGCTGCAGCTTTTGCTGCACGTCCTCTTGATGAAGGACGATATCACATGCTTTCTGTCATGATTAAACCTCCTTCTCTGAAAAGAACTTCTCCCGAGCTTTTTATCCGGCAAAACCACAAGCAACTGCTGCGCCAGCACCGTCTGCTCGAGTTTAGTCACCATGCTTTCTGTACACCGGCAATCTTGAATGTTGAGAGTAAGATTGGTAAGTGTAATAAGATCGAAGCCTGGCCAATTAGAATAAAGAAAGGGGTGGAGCCGCTGGCCAAGGTTGAAGGCTGACCAGGCAGAACAAAGAGATAGGTGAACGCGTGTCCGTGACCTTAACCGGCGCTCGAGGCGCGCATTGTGTAATGAGGTTCCGATACAACGTGCGGGCATACACGGCAAAACTATAGCATGCAGACCAAAAAACTTATCTGTCAACCCTATTGGTTTATAACTGAAGCATATAAACCAATAATATTTTTAGAGAAACGCACTTCACGATTAGGCGGCCTCAAAAGAAAGCCATAACGTTTTAGTTATACATCAACACTGTGAGGTCCTTTAGCAGAGACACTAAATAAAATAAACATATTTTATATTTGGTGGCTTAGTTCATGAAAACGCCTATGACGTGTGCAAGTGTTTCGGAGGAGTTCTTCGATCCAAGGTGATGACTGTAAATTCTCGTCCACAGTTATGCTTACACCGAGGTGAATTTAGATAGTTTTAAATCGAACAGACTAAAAGGTATGCGTTAATCATACAATAACGTCAAATATGACATATAGGATTTTTTATGATATTCCGGTGTGAGGATTTTCTCGACGATGTGCTGACAGGCATAAAAGA